CTTGCCGAATGGTCGTACCAGTGCGCGCAAAAAATGTTCACCAGCAATAAGTAAATTGCTATATTTTTTAGTTCAGCTCTGTGCGCAAACAGTTTGAGTTGATTGTTGTCAGTTGAAGCGTCCAGAACGTGCAGTGTGAATTGTGATTTTGTTTGCATTCGTCACTGCAGTTTGATATTTTAGTGGTGAGAACTCATTCTCGCTGAGCCACAAAGATGAAGAGTACCTCGATTCTTTGCTACCTGAGGTATGATTGTTCGCAGATATTGGAAGCATTTGTCCTCATTGTTGTCACAACGAAAAAGCATGCCACTTAAAGCATTACATAATTACCGTTCAGATAAAAGTTGAACGTTTTGATTTTAAAAAGTGTTTAAGAATGCATATGCTGGCCGTTAAAACAGTTTCTGCAAATTGAACTGTTAAATGCGCAGGCCAATTAATCAACCGCAGATATTCGGTTGATCGGTTGGCAAAACAATACCAAATTTTGTATACTATGGATCTTTCGCCTGGTAGAGTTTGTTGATGATTATGATATCATTTATTGTTTTCAACAACAGCTAGTGTTCCTTAAATCGCAAAGGCTTTTGCGGTGGGCAACAATGAACAGGAAACAATCAGCTGTTAAAGACTGTGATCGACTATCGTGTAAAGGCGCTAATTTTTATCTTCTGATGCCTGTATGCTTATTTGTAATGGCGTCAGTGGTCGCAGTAACCAGCATTTTCCAGTGTTATAAACGTGACTAGCTGATTACTGATTGACGTCTGAAAAGAAAATATTAGCATGGTCACGACAGAATCGACAACCCTCCTCCCACCCGCGTAAGTTGTCATTAAGCTAAGAATATCAAGGGCTGTCCATTATGCAGAAAACTAACAGGTACTGGGGTAATTTAAATGAAATTCGCTTTACAGTACATACTGTTGCATGTACAGCATATTCCCTCCATATCTGATAACTAGGTTCCATAAAACAACTTTCCCAATCGGCATTTAATTAGCTTCAGAAATAGGAAGCAATGCGTCTTCATTTAGGCATGTGCCTGCTTTGCAGTGTACACTAGCATTAGGCTCCTTTAAAAGATTAATCGGTCATGGGAAAAATCTGGTTGTGATCGAAGAGAAATATTATATATCGGCAGCGCTGCAGTTTCAAAATTCTGCTTTACGGTTTCGAAACAGCAACCAGAATAAGGCTTCCACTGTACGAAGTTGACGGCAGCTATAATAACGATTGCTTGTTAAACGTCGAACTGCATCAAAACGACGTGGATATAACTGTGTAACAACTGGTACACGTCTGGCGTTTGAAATTATGCGAGTCATTGCAGACTAGTGATGAAGAATATGTAGCTGTCTTTCACAAAGTCGTTGTTTGTCAGAGTGAAACAATATGAACATGGGTCCATTCGCTTGCCGGAGTAACAAGCGCTCAATTATTCTTTCAACGGACTTCGTCGTATATTGCACCGTTCCTTTGTGTATAGGTGCTTAGAGTCATAGTTAAGTATTCCACGGTGTTTGAGCATCTACAATGCTGGATGCACTTCACATTGTTTTGTTAGGTAAAGGAATAGCTTGTTACCAGCTAGTGCTTCTCTGCTTTCGCAAATCATCCTAAGCGTGAGTTCGTGTACCAGAGTTTGTTAATAAGCGAACAACTCCTTCACTAAAATTACTCCGTAATCCGTTATGCGACTTGTCTTCGTTCTGGGTGCGCCAAGAACGCAACTCGTATCGTCAGTGCTGTTTCCCAGTTGGTTCACTGCCAGTGTGGTGTTGCTAATTCACTTAGGGTAGCCTTTTGTTTCGGTTCTCATTGTCGCTATATTAGATAATTCAGACCTTCTTTCAGCGACTCATCTGGTTTTTTCCCTTCTGATGTCCGTAGCGATGAATCATTCTGTAGGAGGCATGTCTTTGGCTATTGGGGTGTTCGATCGTCCCTGACTAATTCACCCATAGGCTCCTTCTTATGTAGGCGCGAATTTTTATGTTCGTTCAGCTCATTTTTCACAGTGTTGCTCTCGCGTTCGTATGTGTTTGACACTTGATGATCAATTTGATATAATAGTTAACTTACGTTGGTGAACAGTTTATCAGTATTTAGTCTGTAGTGTAAGCGGTCTACTGAATGGAGTATAAAATATGGATTTCTGTGTGTTCAGCGGTCTAACCTCTGAAAATGAGTTATATATTGACTGTTGATCTTGTCTGAAGAAGTGTCAGTTTTATTGACCCAATGGATCTTATCTCTAGAAAGAGTGGCAGTGGCTGTGCATATAGCTTTGTTGGTGACTTAATTCTCATTTTACCTATTTTTTAGACTGCCCGTAGCTGAAAAGACTCATATTGATAATATTAAGACTTATTAACGCAATCTTTTGTTTTGGTTTTCTTTTGTGCCTAGCTGACAGTAGGCTCACCAAGATTATCGTTGCTGCTTTAGGAAATTCCCGTAGAAAAGAGATTTGCATTGAAGTCACTGGTCACTTCCGTAATTTCGGACGACAGCTGTATTGTAATGAACGACATTAACATTTATGTTAATTGGTTACTATTTTGAAGTTTAGAAAGACAAGCAGGCTTTCGTTAGCGAGCTGTACTCTATTTGGCCTTCAAGTCAAAATATCGATAAACTGTCACTTTGGTGGGAAGAAAACAACCGCCGCCTATTCAAGTTGCATGAAACCAGTGCGCGCTGTTACTTTTCTTACCTGTGTTGCGATGAGCCGGTGAATGAACTGCTGTTCCAGAAGTCCACTGAATATTAACAGGCCTTCTTTTTAGGTTTGTTTGTCATCGATTACCGCTACTTTGCGGCTTCTGAAGATTCTCTGTCTCTATTATTCAGGGCTGAAAGAGACGTTCGAAGTAGGCTTCAAGAGCGTGAGATGCGACGTTTGGAAAAGCAAGGAGTAGGCACATTTTTCGAATTTTACCTGTGTGTTTTAGGCGTTATTCCGCAACTGTTCGGCCAGTTGAACCACTCGAATCGAAACATCCGCCAAGAAATAATGAAGCTACTTTGTCGAATCGGCGAGAAGTACCCTAATCTGGTAGTTTTTCCTGCGATCGTAGGCTGCACTGATACAATAAGGAAACACGACTCAGAAGGTATTCTTTAAACGATTGAGCAATAGTGCTAAGCATCTAGCGCGATAAATTTCTGTTAATCTTAAAACCTGACTTCAAATTCTTACAATTACAAAACATTTGTTTTAAAAGACAGTTGCAGTGTCACCGTTAAGATTAATGTTATGCTTAGT